GCTGTGCCCTGTGGAGGGCTCCAGCACGCGGGGACCCGGAGGCACTGGCAGGAGCAAGTGAACTCCGGTCTGCAGCCAGTGCACGATTCCAGTCAGCTCCTCGGGCCAGAAACCACAGAACGTCCCAGGAGACCTCGGAAGGGGGCAACCTGGACCACAGCTCCCCAGGGTTTGAGCCGCAGCCCATGTGCCCAGCCCACGCAGCTCTGAGGCTTCCTGCTAGAGTCAGGGTGTGGCAGGAGGCAGAGCCATGCAGCGGGAGGAAGGGGAAACGAGGCAGCCAGGCGGTGCCATGGAAAACCGCCTCCCAACCACCATGCAAATAAGGCAGTGACCTGACTGTGTCCTCCTTGGAGTGACAGTTTCCTTTGGTGGGGACCCAGTGAGCAGGACCACGGTGAGAAAGGACTTCAGGGGGCCGACACACACAGCCTTTGCTGGAGCAGGCCCACCCAGGGGTGTTGAATGCACGGGCCACCACCAGGACAAGGCAGCTCTGCTAGGGAGAGCCAGGAGGCAGTGTCCATGTGGGCGGCCACGGAACCCAGATCCCCGTGTGTGTAGCCGCCTCACTCCTGATCAGCGATGGGAGATGGGACGAGATCTCTGGTTCCAGGACAGTGTGGGGGTTTTGTTATTGCTGCTGATTGGTTCTCGTGATGTGCAAAACAAGCCCCAACACTGCAGCTCTTCAGAATAACTCTAAGTTGCCCATCACCAAGGCTAATCCTCACAGGAAAAGGAGGGGAATCCCAGCACTTGCTGTGAAGGCCCTCATTTCTGCATGAGGACTCAGATACCAAGGGTCCCCTGTGCAAGGGGGCTCAGCAAGTGAAAGGTGGATGAGAAGCAGAGGCCAGCTCAAGGCTCTGTCGTGGCAGGGATGGCCACAGAGGCCAGCTCAGGGCTCTGCCCATGGCAGGGACTGGCCGCCTGGGCCTCTGCACATTGCGAATGCGGACAAAGGTTTTGGGGACAGCACCATCTGACGTGAGATGCACGACGCTCCGCTGTACTTAAGCCTGTAGGGAAACATCCCCCTATGAACAAAGGCCAATTCTGCCCCTGGAGTGCCCAGGAGACGCCAAGGCAGAGGTCACCACTGCTGTGGTTTGTCCATGAGGTGGACAAAAGGCACTAAAAAGAGGCAAAGCCACAGGGAAAACCCAAAGTAACACCACCAGGGAATACACCACACACCTAGCAGAATAACTAAAATGAAAAACGGTGCTTGCAGCAAAGGCCAGAGGAGGAAACCTGGATCCACCGCACATCGCGGGAGGGGACGTGGAACGGTACACACACAGTGGGGCAGCTCCTTTAAAGGAAGTGTGTGGTCACCATGCGACCCATCACGCGCACCCTCGCACATCCATGCCTCGGAAATGCAGATGCAGGTTCCCAGAAACACCTACACATGGAAGCTGACGGCAGCTTTGTCCAGTCCCCAGCTCAGACCACACTTCAGCAAGGAGACGGTCAAACGCACGGTGGTCCAGCAGGGTTCACATCACCCCAGGGACGGACAGAAGACACGCGCCATGGCCTCGATCCCTCCCGAGCAAGGACCCCAGCTGACGGAAGAAAGCCAGCCCCAGGTGTCGCTCCCCGTCTTCGTGGGGGAACGACACAAGACCCTGTGCTGTTCTTTTGTCTGCTCAGCCCTCCCCGGATTTGCTGCTGGTTCTTCCCGGGCTGGCTACTATCCCTTCCACCTCCATGGAAGGGCAGTTCCCCCTGGCCACATTCCCCACTTCCGCAGGGGAGCGGCACACCGCCGGCCGGCTCTCTGGGGGCTGCACAGGCATTCCCTCAGATGTTCCCCTTAGATGTTCCTGGTGCATGCCGTCTCTCTCCTCCTTTATAGTCCTCCTCCGCCAATCCTAACTCGGCTGCCCACATGCCGAGTACGCTGCTCTCCAATCAGGAGCAAGTCCTACAGTTTATTGGTTGAACTGGAGGCAGCTGTGCGGAAGCTGTTTACTTCTCTCCCAGCGCCATATTGTGGGAGAGCAGATGCATAGAATAAGTCTTAATTCCAGTAACTCAGTCTAGTCCGAGTTGCTCCCCACAGATCCCCCTTTCTTTTTATTTTTTGGCGTTGACACGCGCCTGTCTTCGGTGCCCCGTGGCACACACTCTGCTCTGCTTGCTAGAGTTGCCACAGGTTCTTACAAGTCCTATCAATCAGGCAAACCGAATCCGGGTCCTCTCTTCGCCATGTTGTGAGGAGGTTTTTAGGCGCTGATGCGTGCCTGTGTTCGGTGCCCTGCAGCGCATGCTCTGGTCGAGCCGCCCGCTGGCGCTTACCGCCTTAATCAGGCAGACCGAATCCAAGCTTTCTCATTGCCGTATTGTGGGGGAGACTTATTAGTGTTGGTTCGTGCCTATCTTCGGTGACCTGCAGCTCATACTCTGGTCGAGCTGCTTGCTGGTGCTTACCGCCTTAATCAGGCAGACCGAATCCAAGCCTCCTAATTGTTGTATTGTGGGGAGGCCTTACTGATGTTAATTCGTGCCTGTCTTCGGTGACCTGCGGTGCATAAGCTGCTAGCCGCCGCAGGTGCTCATCGCCTCACTTAATCAGGCAGACCGAATCCAAGCTCTCTCATTGCCATGTTGTGGGGAGGCCTTTCTATTTCTCTATTTCTCTATCTCCGGGCATTCCTATTTCTCCCATTTTACTTCTATCTTCCAGCATTCCTATTTCTCTCATCTTACTTCTAAACTTCTGTTTCTCTTATCCCTGCGGCTTCCTGGCGCCTCGCCCTGCCGGCAGGCTCCGCCCCGAGGCTGCTTCTCGGCGCCTCGCCGGCTCTGAGCCGCTTCAGCCCGCGCCTCTCTCATCTGCGCGGTTCGGCTTTGTGCGCACACTCCGCGGTCTCGCACTTAACCCTTTCGCGTCTGAACCACGGCCTCGCGCCAGCCCCGCGTTCCCTATGTACTTGAGCCCCGCACGCTCTGTCTGCGCGCGGCAGCCTCCGCGAGTCACACAGCGTAGCTTACGTGTCCGCCACTAGCATTCAATCTAAGTTCCCCGGGCTAGCCTGGCGAATTCAACCCAGCTTACATCTCCGCCCCACGGTTTGGCTTCCCGTCCTTTGCTCCCCGGGCTAATCAGACGGATCCCAATCTGGCTTACGTTTCAGCTTCTGGTTTCAACTTTTCGCCCCCTATTCCCGGGCTAACTTGAGAATCCCAAAGTGGCTTTCGTTTCCGCCTTGGCCTGCCCCCCGCGGCTTCAATTTCCCTAACATTTTTCTCTACCCGGTATGTTTCCCCAAACTTTCCTCCAACGATATTCCTCCCTCATTTCTCCTGGCCTCTCCCCACAGTCCGCGTCCGAGTCTGTTTGTTCTAGCTTTCACTTTCGCTTTCGACCTTAGAGATTTCTCCCAGCTTCCCCCCCGTAGTCCGTATCCGAGTCTATGCCTAGGCTTTCAATAGCTCCTTCCGGCACCTTTATCGTCTGGCTTTTCCCTAGGCTGTTTGCTAGTCTCTCTCTCCGATATTTTCCTGCTTCTTCCCGTTTCTTCCCTCCTAGGTTTCCTATCCGTCCTAGGTTTCCTATCCGAGTCACGGCACCATTATGTTGCTCCCCGTCTTCGTGGGGGAACGACACAAGACCCTGCGCTGTTCTTTCGTCTGCTCGGCCCTCCCCGGGTTTGCTGCTGGTTCTTCCCGGGCTGGCTACTATCCCTTCCACCTCCATGGAAGGGCAGTTCCCCCTGGCCACATTCCCCACTTCCGCAGGGGAGCGGCACACCGCCGGCCGGCTCTCTGGGGGCTGCACAAGCATTCCCTCAGATGTTCCCCTTAGATGTTCCTGGTGCATGCCGTCTCTCTCCTCCTTTATAGTCCTCCTCCGCCAATCCTAACTCGGCTGCCCACATGCCGAGCCGAGTACGCTGCTCTCATCAGGAGCAAGTCCTACAGTTATTGGTTGAACTGGAGGCAGCTGTGCGAAAGCTGGTTTACTTCTCCTTCCCAGCGCCATATTGTGGGAGAGCAGATGCATAGAATAAGTCTTAATTCCAGTAACTCAGTCTAGTCCGGATTGCTCCCCACACCCAGGGTCTGATACTACACGCCTGTTTGCCTGTGACGTTTCTAACATCGTGCAGTTTGGCAAAGGAGAACACAAGAGCGGCTGCGGGGAGGGCCGACATGGGCCACGAGGGGAACGACCGTGGTGACGGAGGCACCCGACTGGCCGCAGAGATGGACACGGGAACACATGCGTGTGACAGAACTGTGCAGAAGCAGACACGGACCCGAACTCCTCCACGCCAAGCCAGGAAAACCGGAACACCATCCGTGAACGGTGTCGCCGCCCACTGCCTGGCGGTGACAGATGATTCAAGAATGTCACAAAATGCCATCGTCTAGGGAAACTGGTAAACGTGTACACAAGGAGTTTCAGCATTACTCCTCACGGCCGCATCTGAATCTACAGTTATCTCCATCACAATTGCAGTGAGAAAAAAGAGGTCAGGGAGATCTCCTCTCAATGCATCCCGGGGGCTGGGGATCTCCACGCTCATCCCTGCAACTCAGAAGTGCTAGAATATTAACCAAAAGCCCTCACGGGGAGAGGCTAAACACGGCACTAGCTTAATATTTAATAAAGTCTGGAGAAAATACGCCTAATTTTTTAAGAAAAAGAAAGTCTGAAATATGTGAAATGCAAGCACCGTTCAAAAGCCTGGCTTAGAAGCATGGACCACGTTGGCTAACACAAGCGTATGCTTAAAACGAGATGTCCAATTGACAGCAGAGCCTTCGCTGCCCCGACAATGTGTGAGGGCACACAGGCTCAGGCCGAATCAGGGCAGAGTCCAATTCCCCAGGGCCAGAGGCCCGCGCGGGTGTACAGAAATGCCCACTCTCTCCCAATCGGCCCCACAGAAGCGGGGACACGGGGCAGGCAGCCACAGCCCCGCTCCCCCGACGCGGCGTGGGCCCAGGTGGAAGGTGAGCGCTCGGCCCCTTGTACTCACTTATTCTGCATCATATTCATGATCACCCAGTCGAAAGGGTAGACGTTCTTCCCAATGAGGTTCTTAAACATGATGAATGTCTCCATCAGGAAATCCTGAAAGGAAAAACCAAACTCTGAAACAGCCGCCAGCAAACCGACGCGTCTGCCCCAACCCCGAACGCAGGCATTAAATGATAAGAGACCCCATTTTTTGAGCTGAATGAAAACATTCTAAAAACTAATGAAGATGTATCTCCGAGCAGCTGTGTACTGGTTCTATCTTTCTGTTTATCTGGGCGCTTTCCGTCTGAGACGGCTTTTTCAAAGATGCATTCTGAAATGTTCCCTGGGCACGTCTCTCGAATACTCACAGCAAGTCGATCCCAAGGGTTACAAAGACACGTTTCACACCCTTTCTGCATGCAGGAAAATGTGATTTTACAAACATAATAGGCAGGTTGTGGCAGCTTCCTACATTGTCTCCAAATCTGTTTTTCATTGCAAACAGTCCTTATAAGGTTGAGTATGGGATATGATTACCCACCATTCTTCTTAGGCTATTTATTTATTTATTTTTGACAGGCAGAGTTAGACAGTGAGAGAGAGAGAGAGACAGAGAGAAAGGTCTTCCTTCCATTGGTTCACCCCTCAAGTGGCTGCCACAGCCAGCGCACTGCACCGATCAGAAGCCAGGAGCCAGGTGCTTCCTCCTGGTCTCCCATGCGGGTGCAGGGCCCAAGCACTTGGGCCACCCTCCACTGCCCTCCCGGGCCACAGCAGAGAGCTGGACTGGAAGAGGAGCAACTGGGACAGAATCCGGCGCCACAACAGGGGCTAGAACCTGGGGTGCCGGCGCTGCAGGCAGAGGATTAGCCAAGTGAGCCGCGGCGCCAGCCTTAGGCTATTTAACAAACAAAAGGCTGGAACAGGATTTCTGCACTGTGTGCACATACCCAGCATGCAATGAGCCATGTGAGCTGTGACTGCTTTGCCAAAGTCCTCCTTGCAGCTGCCACAACCCCAGTTCTACTCAATGGTCCTGCTGATGTCTTGCAGGTGCCCTGTGGCACCACCCTGCTTCCAGGCTGACACAAATAACCGTGGCATCAGGAAGGGGTCCCCGTTTCCTGGGGGCTTTCCAGCTGCCCCTGGTTCTGAGCGAACCCGAACAGGGCAGGTCGTTATCCTGAGAGCAGCACCCATGCCTGGCTTGATGTTTGCTCAGACCTGGCGTGGGAGGGGAAAGGCAACAGAGAATGGCGTTAGAAAAATGAGGCCCTGGCCAGAGATTGCCAAGCGCGTGGATAGTTCTCATTTATATAATCTACTGAATCATAATGAGGTGCAATGGCTGTGAAGGCCAAGGTGCTGAGCAGAATTTAAGCAGCCAGGAAAACAATTCCCAGGACCAAGTTCCACAGCAGAACCTCCTGGCAAGAGGCACAAGCGAGAGTGGATCACAGCAGCAAGGCGAGGACGCCTTCTCTGTGGCCTCAGCCAGGGCTCAGCCAGGCACAGCCTCTGGATTTCAGCAGAAGCCTCCAGCCCAGAGAGGCGAGGGCCTGGGCCAAGCCCGGCCAGGTGCCCCAAACCTCCACGCGGCAGGTGCTCCGTGAGCCAGAGCTCGGAGGCAGGAGCATCTGGACGCCCCCGACAAGAGCGAGCGGCCGCCTTCTCCAGTTCAATGACTGAAATCCATATTTCTCTACTGAGTTTCCCCACTTTGTCAAGTGTTTCCCGTTTTAATGACCAGGTTGCATGTTTTGCCGGCTGAGTGCTATAATTTCGCCACATCTCTTTGCATGAAATTGCTGGCTTCCTCGCTGATCGCTCCTCAATGCCTAATAATCGAGACCCAGGGTCTGGTTTTTATGATTCTGGAAGAGACGCCTGTTTTCCCCGCTCCTTTTCTCCTCCTTCATTAGTATGGCTCGGCTGTTAGACGTGGGCACTTTGCTGATCACACAGAACACTGCAGATAGCGGGAGACGGCAAGGCTCCGGGAAGCTTCCTAGCCCGGCTGCACAGCTCCACAGCCGGGCTGGTGTCCTCACAGCCGTACGTGCCAGGATGCTGAGGGGCCTGGCCAGATCAGGGTCGCCCGGGGCGTCCAGATCAACAAGGGACACCCTGTGACAAGGTCATCTCTCCATGCCCATGCACTGCTGTTACTTTATCACGGAACCCCTATATCACCAGTGGCAGCCCTAACGATGACCGCCAGTGTTGCCAAAGAGAAACATCTTCCTAAACCCACCTGCTTCCTGCCATCCCTACCCTACCCTTGCGAACACATGTCAAACCTTCGCAGCTGAACTGTGACAGGGCACATGTGCCTGTGCCCAGAGTGCTCCTATCACACAGCCAAGCTGGTCAAGGCACCACCACTTCCCCAGCCCAACACTTCACCCGTCTCCACGATGGCTTCTCAATGCTCTTGGGACAAAGTCTCTTGAGCCTGGAGATCAGGGAGCCAGGATTCTGCCATGCCAGAGGACTAGTGGTTACAGACAAGGCCATCAGCAGGTTTTCACGCAGCTGGGCCCTGGGTGTGCTTTTCTGTCCTCATGAAGGCTCCTGTGTTGGGAGTTTGGTCCCAGCATGGTGCTCTGGGGGAAGTCGGGATCTCTGAGAAGCAGGGCCTAGGAGGTCAACTGGGGGCATGGCCTGCAGGAGAGATTTTGGTATTTCCCCTGGTGCCCTGGTCTGCTTTGAGATTTGACCCTTCTTCCCTGACGCACCCCCTGCAGGACCATCAGCTGCGATGTGCCCAGACCTGAGCCAATGCCAGTGCCACGCCCTTGGGCCTCCAAAACTGTGAGGAAAGTTAATCACTTTTCTAATTAAAAAAAAAAAAAATTAGTTGAGAGCCAGAGAGGGTGAGTGACAGAGTGAGCTCCCGTCTGTTGGTTCACTCCCCAACTGCTCACGAAAGCCCCTAACCAGAGCTGAAGCCAGGATGTGAGCACTTAACCCAAGTCTCCCACGAGTAGAAGGAACGCAGTTGTCCAAGCTGTCACTGCTGCCACCCAGGGTATTAGCAGGAAGCTGGAGTCAGGGCTGGAGCTGGATTGACCTCAGGAACTCTGATGTGGGACACGGGCATCCAAACCACTAGGCCAAGTGCCTATCCCACTCCTTCCTTCCTTCCTTCCTTAGATTTATTTGATAATCAGAGACAGACAGAGAGGTCTTCCATCTGCTGGCCAATCCAAAGTCAGAAGCCAAGAGCCTCTTCCAGGTCTCCCATGTGGGTGCAGGGGCCCAAGCACTAGGACCATCCTCCACCGCTTTCCTGGGTCATTAGCCGAGAGCTGCATGGGAACAGATGCAGCCTGGACACAAGCTGTACCCACATGGGATGCCGATGCCACAGGGGGAGGCTTAACCTGCTATGGCTCAGCACCGGCCCCCACCTCGTTTCTCTATAAAGTCAGTCTATCTCAGGTATTTCATTACAGAAACCAGAAACTAAGAAACCATCCAATGATTTTGTGGATGTCAAAGATTCACCCAAAGATCACGCGATAACTGCAGGGGTCTGCATAATGGAGAGGGCGGGCGGTACCACCCTGTAGGCAGTCACCCAGCACTGTCGCATCACCAGCTGTGGGCCAGTGTGACACCCCCGGCCTCCTGAAGGGGTGCCCTGGGAGCACTCGGCAGCAACTCTGAAACATGCTCGCCCAAAAGTTGTCCTTGAATTTTAGGTCAAGCGTCCACTGACAGCACATGGGACAGGGTGGGGGAAGGGGAGGAGACAGAGAATCTAGTTGGAAGGTGTGATAAGGCAGCACTCAACAAACTCAGAACAGAAAACTTGCTCTCTTCAAAAAACATAAAAATACGAGCCATGAAGAGAAACTAAACGGAAGAGGTGATGGTCTTTTTCTACAAAAAGCAAGAGACAAAAGACAGAAGACAATCAAACACAATGGGAGACTCTGGAGCGGGCTCCAATTTGAGGGAACCCCTAATGAGAAGGGTGGAAGTTTGGGAAGGACGAAGAAACACAAAAGCAAATCTGAGGGGGTGGGTGCTGTCTTCCCGCAGAGCGAGAGGCCTTGGAGGGGCCTCTCCAAGGGGTGGTTGGGACCCTGCACCCTGCACCGCAGAGCTAGGCTCCAGTCCTGGAGGAGTGAGAGGCCTTGGAGGGGCGGGTTGTTGGGACCCTGCACCCGACACCACAGTGCTGGGCTCCAGTGCTGGAGGAGTGAGAGGCCTTGGAGGGGCGGGTAGTTGGGACCCTGCACCCTGCACCGCAGTGCTGAGCTCCAGTGCTGGAGGAGTGAGAGGCCTTTGAGGGGCGGGTAGTTGGGACCCTGCACCCTACACCGCAGTGCTGGGCTCCAGTCCTGGAGGAGTGAGAGGCCTTGGAGGGGCGGGTGTTGGGACCTGCACCCTACACCGCAGTGCTGGGCTCCAGTACTGAAGGAGTGAGAGGCCTTGGAGGGGCGGGTGTTTGAGACCCTGCACCCTACACCGCAGAGCTGGGCTCCAGTTCCGGCTCCGCTTTCATCACATCCTCCTGCTAATCTGCACCCTGGGAGGCAGCAGGTGATGGTTCAGCTACTGGGCTCCCAGCCACCCATGAAGGAGATGCCCACTGAGGTCCTGCTTCCTGGCATTAGTCTGGCCTAGCCCCAGTTGTTGGGGGCATTTGGGAGTGAACCGGTGGATGGAAGATCTCTGTCTCTCTGTCTCCCTGCTTTTGTAATAAATGAAAACTAAGTACACTTTAAAAAGTACGTGGGCCGGTGCTCTGTACTGGGCTAAGCCTCTGCCTGCAGCACCGGCATCCACAAGGGTACCAGTTCATGTCCCGGCTGCTCCTCTTCTGATCCAGCTCTCTGCTGTGGCCTAGGAAAGCAGTGGAGGATGGCCCAAGTGCTTGGGCTCCTGCACCCACGTGGGAGACCAGGAAGAAGCTCCTGGCTCCTGGCTTCAGATCAGCCAAGCTCTGGCCATTGCAGCTATTGGGGAGTGAACCAGTGGATGGAAGACTTCTCTCTCTGTCTATAACTCTACCTCTCAAATAAATAAATATTTTTTAAAAAGTACTATAGTTTTAATGACTTTGTGACTATTTTAAAATTTACTTTCTATGAGTGAAGTTGAACATCTTTTCATCTGATTACTGTCACAGCCCTTGCCTATTTTCCTGCTGGGCTATGGTCTTACTTCTCTTTGTCAAATTCTTTATTTAGCAGCGTCATTACCCTTTGAATATCATGTAAATTAAAAATGTGATCTCCAAAGTTAAATAAGTAAAAGTAAAAGACCACTGGAGAATGTCTTCATTTTTCTTTTTGTTTTATTTATTTGAAAGGCAGAGCTACAGAGAGAGAGAAACTTTCATATGCTGGTTCACTCCCCAAATGGCTTCAACAGCCAGAGCTGGGTCGATCAGAAGCCAGGAAACAGCAGCTTCTTCTGGGTCTCCTACATGGCGCAGGGACCCAAGCACCTGGGCCATCCTCTACTGCTTTCCCAGGCACATTAGCAGGGAGCTGGATCAGAAGTGGAGCAGCTGGGACTTGTACCAGTGCCCATATGGGATGCTGGCTCCGAAGGCAGCGGCTTTGCCCACTACGCAACAGCACCAGCCCCAAATGTCTTCATTTTTAAAAGACAGTTGCTGAGGCACTTGGGGGAGCAGCACCCCAAGGTCTCGCACTGTAAGGGATCTGCAGTGGGAGACACAGAGCTCCGTGGAGGAAGTGCAGAGATCCAAGTGCCCACGACTGACAACTCCGGGTTCTAGCACAGCGGCCTGTGCTTTCCTTCCTTCAGCCTCCCTGGATGTTGGGAACGTCTGGTGATGAACAGTTATGGAAAAGAGTACAAGGAACACTGGTCCAACCCGAGCAAGGGCAGACTCATCCCACCCAGAATCCTGGTCTTGTGCTGTGTTCCTGCAGGATGAGGGCAGCAGAGCTGAGGAAGGGGGCACAGGCCTGCACGTTCCCCTTCCTAGCTCATGGACCCCACAATGAGCCCTAAATGCAAAGGATGCTCCAAAAAGCAGTGCTTCAAAAATACACATTTTTTTTAATTAAGGGAGAAACAACAGCACATGGATGATAAGTCGAAAACAACACTGCTTCAGAGCTCAGCCAACAAGGGGGTCCCATGTGGTTTGAAGGCTCAGCCCTTAGGGGCCCCGCCCACAGGAGCCCCTTGAGAGCATGAGAGGCAGGGGCACACGTGGCTCCCTCTTCCCTCCGCACACGCTATCCCGCCAGGGTCTCCCTCATGCCGAAGGTCTCGTCTGCGTGCTGCACGAGGGCCCGTCTGGTGCAGCACTGATTTGGGTTCATTGGAACGGCTCTGCCCCGCTGTGATCTTCTCCAAGGCGGCCGTGAGAGCAGGGCCTTCTGCTGGTGCCACCCCTGCTGACGGGAGGGGGCCATGTGAACTCCCCGTGCAAGGCTGTGCACCCCCAGGTTCAAGGTCAGCGGATCACCGTCACGAAAACTGCCTCACTGGGAAACGGTCACGAGGAACCAGCTGGCTCCTCATCCCACCCACGATGATGCGCACACGACAGGGCTGGCAAACCGCCCGCCCGGAGGTGGCTTCTGCTGGACTCAGAGCACGAGGCCTCAGAGCAGAGCGTCCTCTGAGCCACCCCAGCATGTGCTGATGCCCAGCTGCGAGATGGACAAGGTTAAAGGGGCCACCCAGGGGTGCCCGGTGGGTGAGACCAGGGCAGCTGTCAGAAAGGAGCTCCAGGAGGGGAGGGGCTGAGGCTGCATGAGGCCGGCAGGGTCTTCCCGGGAGAGGGCCTGGAACACCCACCGGACTCTGCCTCCTCCCGAGTTACCGTGGGTAGAGCAGGAGTGCAGGAGGCCACAGGACCTGCAGGCCACCTCAGGAAGGCCAGGGGTTCCCGGGGCTCCCTCCACGTTCCCCTGCCCTGTATCCCACACCCAGTCAACCTCGAGCCCCAGGCACGGCTCTCCCTGCGCTGCTGGACACCTGCTTGCCCGCCAAGTCCATCACCAGAGCCGTCTTCGCAAGGTCAGAAATGCCCAGGCTCCAGGGACCCAGGCCCCAAGAGCCCTTGGAAGCTGCTGTGTGGCAGGAGCGTCTTTCATGCGTAACGGGCTCCTGGTGGTCACGCTGCGCCTTATGCCAAGGAGGTGACCCAGTGGGGCTGGTTTCAGAAAGACCACCAGAGGCTCAGAGCCACAGTCCGCCCGCCACACACCCCTTGGGGAGAAGAAGGAGACAACGCTCTGGACGAGTCCGTGAGCCATGCTCGATGAGTCTCTGGGTGGCTGAGCAGGTGGACGTGCTGCCAGGGTTCACCTGGAGGGACATGGAAGTTCCACGCTCCCCACCCGCCCATGCCTGCCCGGCGCAGCTCTTCCATTATGGCCGATTCTGAGTCACTTCCCTCATAGCAAAGCAGGAAACATGTTTGCTCGAGTCCTGTGAGCCCCTCTAGCCAATCACAGGCCCTAAGGAGGGGTCATAGGAATTCTGTGCATAGCCCATTGGTCAGAAGAAGAGGAGACCCAGACTTGAGGTCAGCACCCCGTTGGAGGGATGAGAAACTGACCTGAAGACTGGGACGCCCAGCTGGCGCAAGAGGACTGGGTGGGTGGGAGAGCTCCCCCGGCACCTGCTCATAGTTTTGTACAGAAAGGCCATGTGTGTTCTTCCCAAGCCATTTAGTGGGATTTTGTGACAAGCGTTGGGATAACAGTCCCCTTGGAGGCCCAGGGTCCTCCTGATCCTTCCTTGTGACCATGGAGACCCCAGGCCAGTCCTCTGCTTCTGTTCTTGGTACCAGTCTCATGCATGGCACCAGCAGACGAGCATCCGCGGGCCAGCAGGGTCTGAAGATCCCTCACGGCTCAGGTCCTGCGGAGACGGGAGGCTTGGGATGGGCACACCCTCTCATCTCCTTGTCTGGCTCCGTCTTTCTGCTCATGCGCTGGACTCTCCCCAGCCTGGGGTTCCTGGGGCCACCTGGGAGGCGGCCAGCAGGTAACTGTGATGTTGATAGTAACTGTCTTGTACAGAATGACTCAACCAACCAAAAAGGGGCTCAATGTGAGAATGTAAAAGCAGCACTTGTTAGAGGGAACTCATCTTGAGAGAACGGTTCAGTCTGTTTGCATATTGGAATACTAATTAACTTCCAATTACTGCATGCAAATTGATCTTTTATTTTCTGATATTTTCAGAGTACAAAACTAGTCAAATATTCTCTACGTATAGTTAATGGACAGGAACACATTTTACAAAGGTTCCAACAGATTAACAATAAAAATGGCTTACAATGCTTCCAGAATGAGTTTCTGATATCAGAATCACAAATGCCATTTTATGATGGACATCAAATGGTCTGAGAATAATTGATTTTCTGCTGTGTCTAAGGGAAAAAAATCCTTGAAAAATTAGGGCCACAACACGTAGCAAATATCTGATCCTCCGCTCTGAGCAGAGAGTCAGGGCAGGCACTTGAAATTCAGCACATTACGAGGATTTTTAAGCACCATTCCGCATAATCGCTTTTCACGATACACAGGACGTTCCCTATCAACTGCAACGCGTAAGAGTTCACATTCAATGCTTTTAACAGTTTGCGAGCATGGATGCTAATCACGTGACTGTTCTGATAAAGGGCAAACTATTAATTGGAGTCCTATCTTTCCAGGATGGGTAATTCTTCCAATTTTGAAAATTATTATTCACCCTAGACTGTTATCTATGAATTGTTCATCCAATTTCAAGCTATAACTACTATTTCCACTGACCAAAACAGGCATATTCTTAATATTCAATTATGGCCTCTCATGCTACGAGTATAAAGTATGATTTCACTATGCCATTCTTTAAAACAATCATGGGGCATCAATGTGAGTAAATGTGACTGTCAACCAAGCATTGATATTCAAAAAAATTGACACATTTGGACACACAAACATACATTTTTGCTCCCTGAATTTCATTTTATTTATGGGAAACTGCTATGATTTTAAGGGAAATATCCATTTTTATTCTGCCTATAAATTTTAAAACATGGATATATTATGGTAACCATAAGAAAACTCTGTCTTCAATAGTCCCTCAAGAAAGTCATAAAGGCATTCTGCTCCCATGCCTTAGCAAGTGCGACAAAGCTCGTCCTAGAAACGCTGGCAGAGTTTGCTGTGTTCCACAGGAGCCATGAATCGAGAAGTTCAAGTCCCTTTCTCCTAAGGAAGCCAGCCAGCAAGTGTGGCCGCGGCCTCACAAAGCAGAGTCGCCATACAGCGATAGGACCTCAGGGCGTCAGGGAGGCTGCGCCTAAGCGATAAGTTTCCCTCTATTATACTTTTCCTAATTAAGCTGTATCATGGTTTCACTGAGGATGGCGAGAGAATTATTTGGAGAAACGCTGATGAGCTTCCATGATTGCGGCTAATTAATACGAGTACCATTTCAGGCCGAAAAGTCTCTCTGGCTTCTGCTCTCAAAAAGTCGACCGATAAATGAACAGGAGTTAATGGGAGACCATCATGGGTCACAGCTCCAAACTTCCAATTTTCCCAAAGCCCAAGCAAGGAAACTGAGACCAGAGAGGAGAAACCCGGGCCCTGAGTCATTACTGTGCAGGTGAGAACCAGAGCGAGCCCGTCAGTCAGGGCCCCGTGGTATTACAAACAAGGTACAGTAAACCTTCCCACGTGGCTTCTCTTACGTCTGTTTATTTACGTGAAAGGCAGAGTGACAGAGAGGGGGAGAACTTTCACCCGCCGATTCACTACCAAAATGCCTACAATGACTACAGCCGGGCCAGACTGCAGCCAGGAGCCTGGAACTCCATCCAGGTCTCCCACCCTCGAGCCACCCTCTGCTGCTCTCCCAGGTGCATCAGCAGGGAGCCGCATCAGAAGCAGAGCAACCAGGATTCAAACCAGGGCTCTGACGAGGGCCGCCCAGTTGCTTAACCAACCACACCACAGTGTAGACGCCCAGCTGGTCTCTGAAGCCAGCCAGAGCCAAGCAGGCAAGTTCTCGTGAGAAATCGTACACAGGACGAGAACACCGACGTGAGCATCACGTGGAAAACGCCAGCCTTAAAACACGGCCGGCCACTCACCACCACATCAGTCCTCATTTTCCCAAAAGTCTTGATCAAGTGGGCATAGTGGTAATCTTCCATCTGTCGTAAAATCGCCGTCATGCAGGCCACGAAGTTTCCCTGCAAAGCAATCGAATGACACGATTAGGTGGAGAGGGGCATCATTCATGGAAAAACGGTGTCACTCAGGATTCTGAGACTGAGAACTCAGGAGACCGTGGACCCTGCACAGGAAGCCCCGAGTCCCGCCACCCTCCACGCAAGGCTGACCAGCAGATGGGTACTGGCTCCTGCCAGCCTCAGGGCTCTGTCCGTGTGTCTGTGTGTGGTGGTGGGGGTGGGGGTGTCTGTGTGTGGTGGTGGTGGGGGGGTGTCTGTGTGTGGTGGTGGTGGTGGGGTGTCTGTGTGTGGTGGTGGGGTGGGGGGTGGGGTGTCTGTGTGTGGTGGTGGGGCGGGGCGGGGCGCTATGCTTCATTCTCCCTAACTGCATTAGGTATCTCCCAAAACCAGGCTGTCTAGCCTGCAGCAACAAGCTTTCAAAGTCTTTGCATTCAATACACAAAAAATGAAAGGCAGGTGAACATCACAGCCATTTATATGCTGTGCTTTTTGGGAAACGTGTCATTCTTATTTTGAGGCAAGATGTGTGCACAGTCCTTCCCCTTGGGCCACGGCGAAGAGAGATCTTTCTCCGGAAGACCTGACGGATCCCTCATGGCCAGCTCAGAGGTGATCCCGCCAGCTCCGTGGTGAGTGATGCTCTCCTTCTCCAGCTACAGGAGGACCGGAGAGCGAGCCTGGCTCCTCAGAACGCCAAGTGGGAGACGGCGGAGGCCTCCTGCCAGGGAGAGCCAGGCGGAAAGGAAACGAGGGAAGAAAACAAGAAAGCAGCCAACAAAACCCAGCGTGGAGAAGGCTCCCGACAGAGGGCCGCTGCAGGCGGCCGGGCGCTGTGGGCTCCGGGCGGCCAGGGGCTCAGCAGCCCCGTTCAGTGGACTGCCATTCACTGCCATTTCTCATTCCTACTGCTTCTGGCTAACGCCATCATCCCTGCTTTTAAATATCTCCCCCTCAATTAATGGCACTTTTAGAAACCTAACACATATATTTTTCTCTCATTAAAAGAGTACAACTCTGGTAAAATTATGGGAGGAGGCAAAACTTTGCGACACGTCCCTACTTCTCCCCCATTAAATGAGCTCCCAAATTGCATGCTTTTACTAACTCCGCTTTTACCAGCAATATATTTGAATGCCTAAGTGTCTTTTATGTTAATTTGGGATATGCCCGCTGCAGAGAATTGCTGAAGTCCAACACTTCTCCAATCCGTTTGATATCTGTAGTGTGCGTGCATTCCACAAACCAAACAAATACCACAACGACAACACAGTATCTTCCATTTGACCAGAAACATACATTGTTTGTGCATGACGGATAATTGCCGAGATTTAGATTCCAAGGTGTGGAGCTCAGGAACAACACTTGTTCCACACTGGAGGGAGGATTGGTGTGACAGCACGACATTTACAAGCGTGCACATTCAAATGGCACTGCACCGAGCTGGGAGCAGCCACCTGTGTGTCCCGGCCATGCATTACGAGATGCCACCCTTAGACAATCGCCTACGTGTCATCACGTGTGTTCGCGCACTGCACTGAGGTCACCAGACCCTGGAGACAACCACAGGACGAATCTCCTTCTTCACCCATTGTACAGGCAGAGAAACTGAGGCTGACTGGTTCTACCCTCTGAAGGAGTAAATGGCAATGCTGGCTGTGAAATCAGCGCTCTCCAGCTCTCAGGCAGGTGCCTAGTGGCTGCCCTAACTTCATTCCTGGCCATGCGGTGCACATCTTTGTTCTTTTTCTGAGAAATCATCAGTTCACGGCTCTCCCACTCTGCAGTCATCAGGGAAAGCGGGACAAGGGCGAGGAAGGAGGAACAGTTGCACCCAAGGCAGCCGCCTGTGACCAGGTCTTTTCCTGGGAAGGACGAGCAGCCCAGCCCAGGGAGAAGGCTGAGGCAGTCCCAGTCCACCGGGAGGTGCTAAGTGAACCTGCTACAGTGCAAAACAGCCCAAGCGTGGAGACTCCCACACTGGAACCGCTGATCTCCACTTGGCTGTTACAATCATTGTACGCGATGTGCTTCACTCAGCAGATCAAGTTCAAAGTAGAAAGAGAATCCCTCATGACCCTGAGGGATCACGAGAACACGGAGGCCCTGAGTATGCGGCTCCATGGAGGTCAAGCGGCAGTGCACCAGGGTCGGGCCAGGCACTTGAACTTGGGCACAGTCAATTTGAGGGCAGGCTGCTATGGGTGCTGAGAAATTCAGGCAAGGCCAAGGGCAGAGGAGCCGATCTGACACAGAGAATACAGGAGAACACAGTGATTCCATATGCACGGTCCTGGGAAGACGTACGTTTACAGTGGAGAACTCGTCTCCCTGGAAACGCATGGCACGGAGAAGCCAACCCAGTGGCCCCTTGTGTGACAATCATGGGGACTAATGTGAGCAGGTCTGGGAGGGCCTGGAGGACCACTGGGCAGAGCCGTGCCCTCTTCAAGAAACTCAAAGGAACGTCTGCTCTGAAATAAACTGCGTGGGGTCGTCTCTCCTTTCCTAGGGGATGCCAGTCTTGCTATCTCCAAGTAGAAGTTTAGGACCCCACTAGGAAAGAGCTCATGCACGTGTTAGCACTCACAGCAATGCTCCCCTCTGCTCCCTGTCCCCCAGGGACAGAGCCCCATCCTTGGGGCACCAGCCTCTTACAGGGATGCATCATTGCCGGCACGAACACACAGAAGCCCGGCAGGTGCACCTGTGCTTGCCAGGGTGGACAGAGCAGGTGTCTATGGAGGCCGCTTTCAAAACCACTCACACAATAGGAACCAAACGGGGGAGAACTGCGGAAAGGAACCTTGAATTCTGTAGGCTCAGGAGACAATCAGCACTCTGCGCTTTAACTGACTTATTTTAGATGCACTTAGAGGAGTCCTGGGCAGCTTTTATTTTTAAGTGATGGGCAGGCTGGTGGTAGTCCGGTGAAGAGCTCATCCTGGGACTTGAAAAATAAATAAATACAAACAAGACATGTTCTTTATAACTTCAAAGCAATGCAAAATAAGGGCAGAGAAGTCGGGCTACACTTGCAGAGCATTTAAAAACCAGGCCATCGAATGCCTAATAATCAAAAATGTGAAGCTCATTAGTAATCAAAGATGAAAATGATATATCATTATTTGCCTGCTGAAATAGCAAAGAAGTATTTAAGTGATGATAATGTTCGCAAGGGTGCAGGGAACGAGGACTCTCCTGCACTGCTGGTGGGAGCATAAATTGCTGTAACCTTTTTAAAAAGAGATCTGGCAATCGGGTTGAAAAGCCTTGAAAAAAATACTCATCTCCTGAGTACTTCTACTTCTAACAATCCACCTGAAAAGTAATTCAAAATAGGAAATTTTGTGCCAACCCATGTCCATTGTATTACAGAACATATCTAAAGGTTAAACAGCAGGTACTATGAGGGGTCACAAGACAAAATAGAGGGCGCCCCGCCCAATCCGAATCTCTGATAAACAACGAAAAACAAGCATGTGTTACATGGCACATACATGTTCTAGAAAATGTTATTTGTTCTTTGCTCGAAGTTCACATTGAACCGGGTGTCCTGTATTTTCACTCGTTAAATCAAGCAATCATACTATGGTGTCACCATAAATTATTGTGCAACCACTAAAACATTAACATTAACCAATCAAATATGGAATGTTTTGATAACATGAGAAAATGTTTGAAAAACAAAACTGGAGGTAATCACATATACATAGCTCAGCAATACAAACAATATTTTCACAGAGAAAACAAACAAAAAATGACTAGAAAAAAAAGACTCCAGGTCATCATCAGGGAGGGAGAATAATAAGCCCAGATTACAGCAGAAAATACATTAATATTTTTAAAGGTGGCCCTGAGGAGTGCCTGGTTCCAGGCTCAGCTGCTCTGCTTCTACTCCGGCTTCCTGTTGATGCACAGCCTGGGTGACAACAGATGATGGCTCACGCGGTCGGGTGCTCCCTTGGGAGGCCTGGATTTGGTCCAGGGCTCCAGGTGTCAGCCTAGCCCTTGGTGTTGTGGGCATTTGGGGACCAAAATGCAGAATGAAGATCTCTTTCCTTATCTGTCTCTGTATTTCTGTCTTTCAACTAAAATGAAAATACATGAATAAAAAGGTTTCCAGCAGTCCTCAAACAGAAAATACCTCATCTGGGAGGATGGGTCAGTACTCCTGCCCCCACGTCCTGAATCTCCTAGTCTCTCATCCTCAGACATCTTTCCCAGGGCTCCCCCTATCGGTATGGGTCTGCACTGCTCATTGAGAGAGCTGGACAGGACTAACCTCCCACCTTGCCAACCTTCCTCAGTTCTAAACGTCTGTACCCCACTGTGTCAGGTAGGTGGCAGGTGGCATGGGGCACAGGTAGCACGGGTGACAGGTAGCATGGATGACAGGTGGCATGGGGCACAGGTAGCATGGGTGACAGGTGGCATGGGGCACAGGTAGCATGGGTGACAGGTGGCATGGGGCACAGGTAGCATGCGGCACAGGCAGAACTGAGCACGCACAGAATGGAAGACAATGCAGCACGAGCTGAGGTGCACACAGGCAGAATGGAACACAGGCAGAAGGGAAGGAAGAGTGGAGCTGTCCTGGCACGGAACACAGGTGGTGACAGGCGAGCTGAATTGATGTACGGTGTCCCTGCAAGATAGAGAGAGAGAAGTGAAAAAGAGGCTGGAGGATGGAAACATGGGAGAGATGCTCCTGTCAGAGTCTCTGCCCAGCGTAAGGTTGCAGTGTAAGTGCACCAGTTAGTGGTTCTGAAATATCTATGTGAAAGGCACAGGAGCACAGACAGGTCTCCCACCCTCTGCTTCACTCCCTAAATGTCTGTCACAGCTGGGGCATGGCCAGGCCAAAGCCAGGAGCCAGGAGCCAGGAGCTCAACAGGTCTCCCCATGGATGGCAGGGGCCCAACTACCTGAGCCATCACTGTTTGCCTCCCAGGGTGCACAGGAGCAGGAAGCTGGAATGGGAAGCGGGGCCAGGACTTACA